GTTACCGCGTGCACTGAAAACATATGGTGTTTAGAAATGATAGGGGTTTTGGAAACACCACTTCCTGTTTTCATATGATAGGGGTTTTGGAAACACCACTTTTTGTGAACAATATGTTTTCATATGATAGGGGTTTTGGAAACACCACCAAGTTGTGAACAATATATGTTTTCATATGATAGGGGTTTTGGAAACACCACTTTTTGTAAATAATATAATAATTATGTTTTCATATGATAGGGGTTTTGAAAACACCATTTTTTGTGAACAATATATGTTTTGGAATTAAATGTATTTAAGATATATATATTGTTTTGAAAAATGTATTTATTTTTTCTTCTTAAGCATATATGTTTTACAATTGTATGTTTTTACTATACATATATTGTTTTGAAAAGTATATATATATTCTTATTAAACATATATGTTTTACAATTGTATGTATTTTAAATATATATATCATATTTTTGACAGTGTTTCTGCTTCGTAAATCCGCCTTTGCGTGAAGTATTTGGGACAGGAATCCACGTGTATTCTCCCTGTCTTACGATCCTTCATTTTTGGATGTCGATGTGTCGGTTACCTAGGAAGAGTCGTCCGTGGTGTTGACAGAGCGGACGGTTCCTACCCGGTTACCAAACGCACATCTCTGGAATGAATTTGAAGTTTGATCTTAAAATAGAACGTGCCAAGACACGAGAATAGCATGTAGAACAGCACACATATTGTGTCTTTTCTCTTTCCTCTCTGAAGACTACCGTGAAGAAAAGCGACATGGTTGGTGGGAGATTTTCATGCCTAACGGCCCACCCTGCGCCTGCGGAATTCTCGGTCAAACCGGGTTCAGGCATGACATTCACGTGTCATTTACGTGTAAGGAAAGTTACAGCCCTAGCCTGTGACTCTACAGGACTGAGTGCTCCTCACCGGGAATCTTGTGCACGCAGACCTACGGGACCTATGTGGACAGGCCTGGTGGATTCATCTAGTGCTTTGTTACCAGGGGCCTTTGCCGTCCATTGCACCTGTCAGTCAAATTAAACCTACAATGCCATATATCACTTTCTCACCGAAAAGGCCACGTCAAAGTTCAAAGACGTCAGTTTCCTTTAAAGGTCTACAGACGCAGACATCCGGTAAGGCACACTTTCTAGCACGTAGGCCCAACATGTAAACGGACGTCTGAGGACGGACACGATTTCAACTACCTACTTTTTTGCATACACTTTTAGGCACGGCTGTGTCACCAGTTAAGGAACAAGTATTTCAAACAGAACTTGAGTAGTATTCATTTTGTTCTAAATCCAAGACATCTCTGTGCGAAGACACACATAAGGCTAATAGTGTCTGATGTCCAAAGTTACCAACATACAGTTGTACCTGGGAGGACAGAACGGCACGCACAAGGCACGTGTGAATGATCTTAGCTCTCAGACAGGAAACTGCTAAAGGCTAGCGTATCTTTCATATGAGAAATTCGCTGGTAGAACGTGACTTAAGTCACTAACTTCCCTCTGCACACATCACCAGTTCCCATGGAGGAAAACTCAAACAGCTG